TTCCAGTTAGGGAGAGGCCGTTAGCTTTGGATGTTCAGGCTTTGGCCAATAGATTTGTGAAATTAGATATTTCATATCCTAGCCGGGTTCTTGCTTGTATTATTTCACGGTCTTCTTTGTTTGAGCGCATCAAGGCGCACCAGTATGATGACCCTCACTTGCTTGTCCTTAAGGACACGGTGCAACACTATGATGATGGGGTGTTGAAGATGCATGTCCAGATTTGTGTGGCCATTAATGATGGATTACGTGAGTTGATACTCGTGGAGGCCCATAGTTTGCAGTATTCCATTCATCCGGGTGTCGGGAAGATGCACCATAATTTGAGGCAGCACTACTAGTGGAGAATAATGAAGTAAGATATTGTTGGGTATGTTGCTTGGTGTTTAAACTATCAGCAGGTGAAGTATGAGCATCAGAGACCGGGTGATTTGCTTCAGAGGCTTGATATTCTGGAGTAGAAGTGGGAGCATATCACCATGGATTTTGTAGTTGGACTTCCACGGACCTTGAAAAGGTTCGACGCTGTGTGGATTATTATGGACAGGCTAACCAAGTATGCACTCTTCATTCCTGTCATGACTCCCTATTCTTCAGAGTAGCTGGCTCGGATTTACATTCATGGGATTGTTCTCCTTCATGGTGTGCTAGTGTCTATTATCTTGGATCGAGGCACGCAGTTCACATCGCATTTTTGGAGATCCGTGAAATGAGAGTTGGGCACACAGGTCGAGCTGAGTACGATATTTCATCCCAAGACGGACGGACAGTCCGAACACACTATTCAGATATTGGGGGACATGCTACGTGCATGTGTTATTGATTTCGGCGGTTTATGGGATCAATTTCTACCACTCATAGAGTTCACCTACAACAACAACTATCATTCGAGAATCCAGATGGCATCTTATGAGGCCTTATATGGGAGGAGATGTCGCTCTCTGGTTGGTTGGTTTAAGATTGAGGAGGCTAGGTTGTTGGGCACTGATCTGGTTTGAGATGCTTTCGAGAAGGTGAAGTTGATTTAGGAGCGGCTTCATACACCACAGTCCAGGCAAAAGAGTTATGCTGATAGGAGGGCTCGTGATGTGGCATTCATGATGGGTGAGAGGGTTCTACTCAGCGTTTCGCCCATGTAGGGTGTGATAAGGTTCGGGAAGAAGGGATCTTTGAGAGAGTAGGTGAGGTGGCCTACAGACTTGCATTGCCACCAAGCTTATCGGTAATTCACATGGTGTTCCATGTTTCCATGCTTCAAAAGTATTATGGAGATCCATCATATGTAATAGATTTTAGCTCAGTCCAGTTAGATAAGGATTTGACTTATGTTGAGGAGACGGTGGCTATCATGGACAGGCAGGTCCGAAAACTAAGGTCGAAGAATATTGCATCAGTGAAGGTTCAGTGGAGAGGTCAACCGACCAAGGAGGCGACTTGGGAGGGCGAGCATGATATGCGGAGCCGATATCCTCACCTTTTTGGCACTTTAGGTATGTCTCTTGTAACGACCCAACCGATTGTTTTGAGTATTTACACTTCGCTCGGTAGTTTGAGGGCAAGAGTAGCTCCGTATGATATATTATGACTTGTGTGAATCGTCGGTTTTGGTTTTCAGGTTATTCAGAATCGATTTGGAAGAATGAATTTCATGATTAAAGCTTTAAGTTAGAAGAGTTGACCAAGTGTGACTTTTCTAGTATTTAACCTTCGATTCGAGTTTTGATGGTCCAGTTAGGTCCGGATTGTAATTTTGGACTCGGGTGTATGCTCAGATTTGCATTTGGATGTTTCTTGCAGGTTTCGGCGCAAATTGGCGAAAGTTGGAAATTTGAAGGTTTGGAAAGTTCATAAGTTTGACCAAGAGTTGACTTTGATGATATCGGATTCGAATTGTGGTTCTGAGAATTGGAATAGCTTCGTTATGTCATTTGGGACTTTTATGAAAAATTTGGGTTCATTTCGGGTTGATTTGATATGTTTTGGTGCGAGTTTTGGAAGTTCAAAGTCCAAAGTTCAGTTAAGTTCGAATTCAGGTACGATTCGTCGTTTCGGTATTGTTATGTGTGATTTGAGACATCGAGTAAGTCCGTGTTATATTATGGGACTTATTGGTATGTTCGGACAGGGTCTTGAGGGGCTCGAGTGAGTTTAGGATAGGTTTGGGTTGGGTTGTGTTTCGCTCGTTTTTTATGTTTCGGCGTCGTTTCTTCAGCATAAATGATACCACATTAAGCAAATGAGCTCCAATTTTTATTTTGATTGAAACATTAGATCTGTATCATAATTTTAGAACTATAACAATTGGAATCATCAAGTTTCAACATCATATAAGGAGTTTATGGTCATTTTACTAAGAATTTGGTTGTCAGATTTTCAGATTAATTACTAAATTGCCACTGAATTCATATTTAAAAATCTGCACTATTTGCAAATATTGAAAACTAACATACCTCCTTCATTATAAGGTCAAATGGAGTGATTCAAACGCTTAACTTGACTGGAAATTCACAAGGAATCCATTGGAGCCATCAAAAGTGAGTTTCAGTATCGATTGGCATGAGAAACGAGATAGAACAGCTGGGCAGAAGCATATAAATCAAGAGTTTGTTCATTTGGTCATATTTGGAGTTAGGGAGCTCGGATTTGGATGATATTTGAAGTGATTTTCACCACATGGATTGGGATAAGTATTATATACTCAATCTGTATTATATTTCATGAGTCATCTTCGTTTTTGACAATTGGTTGACGATTTCAAAAGTACAATTTGGGGGGTTTTATCTAAAATTTCATAAAGTGATTTTTTGAGTTTTGAACATCGATTTGGAGTCGGATTTGAGTGAAACTAGTAAGGTTGGACTCGTAATTGAATGAGGTGTCGAATTTTATAAGTTTCGTCGAGTTCCGAGGTGCAGGCCCGAGTTGGAATTTTTAGTTGATTTTGGACTTTTGAGTAAAGATTCGACCTTTATCAATTGGAATTGTTTCCTTAGGCTTTATTTGACGTATTTGAGTTGATTTTGGCTAGTTTCGAGCCGTTCGGAAGTCGGTACATGCGGGATGGCATTTTTGGAGCATCGTTTGGCTTGCTCGGTATTGGATTTGACTTGTTCGAGGTAAGTAACACTTTTAAACTTGATACTGAGGGTATGAACCCCGAATATACGTGATATGTATTTGGTGTTGAGATGATGCACATGCTAGGTGACGGGCGTGTGGGCGTGCACCGTGTGAATTGTGACTCGGTTATTTCTTTGGTACTATGTAGTCACATAATCTTATTTGTATCCATGAAATCTCTATGTGCTAGAGTAATTGAGTTGTGATCCATGTTAAAAATTATGTCTAGGCTATATGCTTATCCTGTTGGGACCCACTGGGGGTCATTTCTACTGTTGAGTTACCTGTTTTTATTGAAATTACATACTCAGTCATACGCATTCATCTACATATCATATCTCAGTCTCTGTTACCATTTATTGATACATAACATCATTATTTTTGGGCTGATCTTTCATGACATTGTGAGCCCGAGATATTGGAGAAATTGATGACTGAGTGAGGCCTAGGACCTGTTTGTGAGTGGCATTTATGGGAGCGGACTGCACACCGCAACATGTTATTTTGATTTATTCCATGATTGGCTTAGTATAGCGCTTGGGCTGAAGGAGCCCCTCCGGAGTCTGTACACACTCCCAGTGAGCGCAGGTACCTACTGAGTGCGAGTGTCAAGTGCGAGTGCCGAGTGATTGGGAGGACTGAGTGGTTGTGAGGACTGATTGACTATGAGGACTGAGTGACTGGGAGGACTGATTGACTGTGAGGACTGAGTGACTGGGAGGACTGAGTGAATTGATACTCTAAGAGTATGCATATGGTTTTATCACTAAGTTGCATCGCATTCGACATGCACACTTGACATACAGGCATAAAGATGCATCTTCCTCATGTTGTACGGTATCACGTCATTCATGACTTGTCATATATATTGACATGTAGGCATAGAGATGTATTTTTCTCATGCCATTTGAAAATGAAATATTTACCTATTGAAAGCTTTGAGAAAAATTACAGTTTTCAAACTTACTCATACTTTTGGTGTTTTCGGTGAAAGATTTGAGATTTACTGTTATACTTGAAAAGCATGCCTATTTTTTCATGATTGTGAATGAGTTGAGCATCATATCTCTGAGTTACTTCGTGTATCATATTTTACTATATTGTTATGCACTGTTGCTGGTTATTAGAGTTGGACTCTGACCCTTGTCCCAGCTCGTCACTACTTTCAACCTAAGGTTAGGTTTGTTACTTATTGAGTACATGGGGTCGGTTGTACTCATACTACACTTCTTCACCTTTCGTGCAGACTGGATGCTGACGTTGATGTGTATGACGGGAGCTAGCATTAAAGACGTACCTTCATTCCGGTAATAGCTGCCTCTTGTTCAAGGTAGCTCTTGTGAGCACCTAATTTTTGATCATATTTAGATTTTTTACCACTTTTTAGAATGTAAATAATTTAAAGTTTAATTTACATGTTTTAGCTTTTGTTTTACCCTTTTATAGGTTTTTCTGAAGAAAATTAAAAACTACAAAAAGAGTTACATGTTTTTTAGAGTATTAGTTTTATTTTTATTTACAAAGAAAGAAGAGTTTCCAAAACAAATATAGTTTTATCTAGTTTAGTACAATTCTTTAAGTTAGAGGCTTTAAGAATTAAATATTGAGTATAGTAATTTTACCTTGCTTTTTATTTACTTATTTTAGTAGGAGTAGATTATTTTTCTTATTTATTATCAAGAAAAGAAAATATTACAAAAAAAAAAAGAACCAATCACAATTGGCCACTTGCAAAAGATTCTTCCTAACAAATTCCCTCTTTTCTTGGTAGCTTCTCACCTGCATACACTTTTGATGGCCTAACAATTCACTGATTTTTAACCAACTCTCACGTGGCCCTCTCCCTCATCTCTCTTACTTATAAACACACAAGGACATAAAAAAAAAGAGGATAGAAAAAAGGGGGATCGGGGAAACAAAAAACAGAGGAAAATACATAAAGAAAATTTGAGGAAAAACGCAGAGGAGGACCAGCTGAAAATTTGCCATTCTCTCTAGTCGGCCTCTCTTCCTCATAACAGCAGCTCAAAACCCTTCTTCCCCCCCGTAAAAACCAGCTCTAAAAGCTTCAGAACCCACCTGAAATCCAGCCTTAAAGCTTCAACGAAATAACCTTGAACCACCGAAAATATCACCCCAAACCAATGCGAAAAATTAGCTCGAAATCACCATCCAAATTTGGTCGGGTTGAGTCGTTCGGGGTTGCAATTCCGGTTCGAGTTTATGGTCCGTAGCTCACTTGAGGACTGCTGCTTTTGGATATTCCTTTGCACTGTACATGTTGGAAAATTTTCACAAATTAAGGTCCATTCTTTTCTCTATATACTATTTCTTTCCTCTTTTTTTTTTGGAATTTTTCTTCCATGAACGTGATTATGAATATGATGCCATGGTTTTCTTGCGTAGCAGTGAACGTTTCATTTTCCATTTCTATTTTCAAATATTGAATCATGCTTTAAATGTTCATATGTGAATTCTTCCTGGTTGTCATGTTTTGGATAATATCTAGTAAGATAATTTTGGTATTGCTGCATCGATAATTTACTTGGGGGAAATCCAGCAGTTCAAAGTAGAAAAAATAATTCTTGGCCTTACAATAATCTCAAAGTAGGAAAAATAATTCATGAATACGTTAGTATGCTTTTAGACATGCTCTTAATTAATTAAATTATCGTGATTATGTATACGTTCGCGTAACATAATTACGATATTCAAAATTAAAATCAAGGTATGCGTCCGCGCAACTTTGGGCGCAACAATCTTAATAATAAAGTGTTACTAATTGTGTACACGTACGCGTGACATGATTTTTAGCACACTAAATAAAGACAGACTCACACACACTTGGTTCGTTTCAAGATAATTCCATAACACCATATATTAAAAGCGGTAAAAAAGGTAAATGTACATAGGTTCTAAAATGAGTAATTAAGCAATTTAATTAAGCCAAGTATGATTAAAGCAACCATGCTAAAATCACGAAATCCGGAAATGCCTAACACCTTCTCCCGGGTTAATAGAATTCCTAACCCGGTCTTATAGTTTCGCAGACTTTAAGACAGCGTCAAAATTTTTCTCGATTTGGGATTTAAAATAAACCGGTGACTTGGGACACCATAACAAATATTCCAAGTGGCGACTCTGAGATTAAATAAATAATTCCATTTAGAATAATGTCACTTTAATTGGAAAAACTCCCCTATCCTTATTGTGAAAAAGGAGGTGTAACAGCTCTGGCGACTCTGCTGGGGAACGAACCCAGAATCTCTGATTCAGGATTCAGAATTTGAGATTGTTAATGTGATTTATACTTGGCTTTATTGTTTGTTGATATTAATGTGTTTGTGGGCCTAATGTGCTAATTGCCGCTCATTTACTGCTTTGATATTATTTGAATTGTATTAAACTGTCTTCCTACGCCTCTCTTCTGAGTCTTCTCAAAATATGGTGCACACGTATGCGTGGCCCACTTTTCTATTAGAGGTCGTACCAAATAGAACGAGGCTGGATCAGCAACTAGGCCGGGTAGACTTTCGTGCTCCCAGTACATTGCCCCCACCTCGGCTCGAGCTGTCCGCTTGGGTAAGCCATATCTAAAATACACCCCCAGGTTTAAACCTAGAATAACATAGCCTCATGCCATATTCCTAGTAGGAAAGTTTGTTTGCATCATGTGCATTTGACTTTGGGGACTCAACACAAGGGTTGGGTCCGTCTAGGATAGGTGTACCCAGAAATAAAAGACTATCCTGATGCATTCTACGTGCTATTTGTGCATTTTATTTAATCTGGTTTGTATGTTGATTGACTTTTAGAATATGGAAACAAAATTAAAACACAAATAAGAAAAAGAAAATAAGAGAGTGAAATTCACCAAGTTCTCATCAAATCCCTATGTTCAAAAATCGAACTGTGTTTGATTTCACTCAAAAGGTGTTGAAAAATAGGCTAAGATTTTGAGATATTCCCCGTTTTTGCTGAACTACGCGGGTCTGATTCTCACCGGATGTGAGATACGTAGGAAACCCTCGTCGGTTCCGGCCCACAATTTAAAAAAAAATCAAAAATATTTTCCTTTACTTCCTTCTTTAGAAAGTCTTTCTTTTAGACCCCAATTTTTAAAGAAATATAAAAACATTTTCTTTTTAATTTCTTCTCAAAATTCAAAAATATTTTCATTCTTCTTTCAAAAATTGAAAAGAAATTCAAGATTCAAAAATATTTTCTTTTTTCTTTAGAAGTATTTCTTTCATAAATTCAAAATAAAAGTCCAAAAATCTAAAATATTTCCTTTCTTCTTTAGAAGTTTTTCTTTTGAAATTCCAAAAAAATACATTTTCTTTCTTCTTTAGAAGCCTTTATTTTCAAAATTCTTAAAAAAAAAAAAAAACAAATCAAAGTCCAAAAATATTTTCTTTCTTCTTTATAAGTCTTTCTTTCAGAAAGTTTAAAAAAAAAATCAAAATCCAAAAAAACAAAAAAAGAGTTAGTTTATTTTCTTTATTCCTGATCTTCTCGAACTACGCAAGATCTGATTCATGTTCCCACATGATACGTAGGCAATCCACATCAGGTTCGATTGAATGGTTTTAAAAAAGAAAAAAAAAAAGAGAAAAGAAAGAAAGGAAAGAAAAAAACAGAAAAAAGGAAAGAAAGAGAGTTGTTCGTTCTAAACATGTTTATTGTTTTAAAATTAAACCTGGTTAAAAGTGGTTGGTTTTTTGGTTTGCAATGGCGAGTGCTAGATCCCTCAGAAATAAAAGTATCTTCTCGACCGAAGGAACAAGAACCATTATTTTTAATCTAACTAAGGTCACAAAAAGGCAAGTAGACAAGGTGGTGATAAAAATGGAGGTAAATGTTGGCCGACTTCTACTTATTTTGAGCAACAGGACATGCTCTGCTTGGATGATCTTTCTTCCAAGTCCTTTGGAAAATCTGTTGCTTTGAAATTTCCCATGCCGTCAGTACTGAAATCCGACAGCCAATATTGGGAACGGTTTAGTCAAAAACTCAAAATTTGAGTGCTGAATCAAAAGCAATTAAAAGGATTGAATGTCGTAGTAGTTTTGATATGCAAATTTGTGGCTAAAATATCACTTAGCAACTGGAAAGTCACTCCTCTTTTAGACAGGGATGTCGCGACCCGAACTTTCCACCTTCGGACCGTGATGGCGCCTAACATTTCGCTTGTTATGCAAGCCAACGTTAGAATAATATTAGCCATTTCTAAATAATTTTTAAATTTATTAATAACAGAGAAACAAATACGGGAGTAAAGTCTGAAATGTAATGAATAATCCATNTTAGAACTGCGGACGTTATGCAGTTATACCTCAAGTCTCCTCTGAGTAACTGAAATTCGAGCAAGTCTATGGTACGCCGCTGGGATCAACTCTGAAATCTGCACAAGATGTACAGAGTGTAGTATCAGTACAACCGACCCCATGTACTGGTAAGTGCTGAGCCTAACCTCGACAAAGTAGTGACGAAGCTAAGGCAGGTCACTTACATTAACCTGTACGCAATATTAGTAAAAACAACAATAATAGAAATAAATCAGGTAACTCCTTTTTAATATTTCAGGCCAACTCAGCAGTCATAATCAATTATCATTTCAATCAATTTCCGTTGCAGCGTGCAACCCGTTTTCACAATATATTCATTTTCAACCCTCCAATATATTTAGTTTAACCAAGTATATATATAGACTTTTAAATAAGTCTGTTGCGACGTGCAATCCGATCCCCCAATATAGACTTTTAAATAAGTCTGTTGCGGCGTACAATTCGATCCCCCAATATATATATATATATATATATATATACTTTTATTTCCGTTGCGGCGTGCAACCCGTTCTCCCAATATAGCTTTAAACAACTCATAAATGTAATAGAAATTACTCCAATAAATACCACGTCTAATGAGAAACTATTAAGCATCAAGGAAAAAAATAATTATAATTTATTTATGAACCAAATAATGACAAATAGCAATTTATTATGAAAATCAGAGAGAAAATAGACAGTTTAATATTTAATATGCTAAATGTCAAGTAGCATTTAATGTACATAAATAAAATAAATATGTAGCAATTATTGCAGGAATTCAAGATTTAATATTTGACAAAGATTAGGAGAGAAACAATTATTATAATAATTAATTCGTATATTAAAACAAATTTAGGATTTTCAAATAAATATGCACACAATTAATTTGACATCGTATAGATACTCGTCACCTCGCCTATACATCGTTCACTTGCATTTCACATAACAAATAATTTAAGGGTTCTATTCCCTCAAGTCAAGGTTAATCACGATACTTACCTTGCATTGCAAATTTCAATCAATTACTCGACCACAACTTTTTCTTTTAAATTTGTCTCCAAAATCTTCAAATCTATTCACAAACAATTCGATATACTCAATACGAATCATAGGAATTAATTCCATATGAATTTACTAATTTTCTGGATAAAAATCCGAAATTCATTTAAATATTCGACAATGGGACCCACGTCTTAAATCATGGAAAAACCTCACGAAATACGAACACCCATTCCACTACGAGTTCAACCATACAAAATTATCCTATTCCGATGTCAAATGGACCTTCAAATCTTAAATTGTTCATTTTTTTGGAAAGTTTACAAAAATTCCAATTTCTTGCATGTAAATCAGAAATAAGTGATGAATATAGACATGAATTTATGAAATATAAACACTTTTGGTTATAGAACACTTACCCAATTCAAAATCGTGAAGAACCCCTTTGGAAGCGCCAAAATCCAAGACTTAAAACTCAAAAATGAGTAAAAATGGCTAAGACCCGATTTTATGTATTCTGCCCAGCATTTTCGCTTCTGCGGGCTATATTTTCGCACCTGCGGCCTCGTATTTGCGAGAAAAATCTGGCATTTGCGAAGTGGGGCTGCCAGGCGAGGCCTCGTATCTGCGGAGGAAAATTGCGCACCTGCGCTGCCTTCCGCTCCTGCGATCGAAGAGTCCGCTTTTGCGGACGCGCGGGTGCGTGCAAGTTTCCACACCTGCGGAATTTTGCCGTGCTTTCTCAGCCCGCTTCTGCGATGGAATACTCGCTTCTGCGAGCTCGCACCTGTGGTCAAATATCCGCAGGTGCGATTACACCAGAAGGCCAAATTTCAATTTTTTCCTTAAGTCTAATTCTTGATCCGATTTTAATCCGTATCACTCTCGGGGTACTCGGGACCCATATGAATATACCAACAAGTCCCATAATATAATAAAGACTTACTCGGGGTCTCATATCATGTCAAACAACGC